AAAAATTTTATGATTTTTAAACTTCAAAATTACTGAGGTGGTCTAGCAAGTGGTCTAAGAAATAATAAGTATGCCAAATTATGTTCATCATTGTACAAAGAATAAAACATTTCTGCTGAATAACATTTATCTTTTGTTCGGCTGACTTGGAAATGAACTTTGAGTTCATACCATTGATCAACTATCCTGACTACAGCACTTTCTATAGACAGCCACCGCGTATTACAGGCTTGAACTATTTTTAATGGAACATGATTTTCATTCAAACATTTGTATATATCTTTATAGGCTTGTTGACGTAATGTAGATTTGGAGAACCAATTATAAGTTTCTGAAATTAAATAATCTAAATGCCGAGGAATAGTTTCAGAACAAGCGTGTGAAGTTGCTAACTGTTACGAGTGGCATACACATCTTATCAAAATCAAATGTGGATTATCTTTTTTTTAAATAGCATGTACTCTACTATTAACGCCAACCATGACACTATCATTATCTGAGCCGATYCCAATTAAATTATTCAATTTCAAATCAAATTTTTTTAATGAATTCTTGACAGCATCAACTATTGCTATAGTTATTCAGTAAGTTCTTCAAGACTCAAAAACGTAGTTACAATTTTATTTAATAGCTTACTGAAATAAATAATAGCAATACCCAAATATTTCGATACTGATATATCGGTTGACTCGTCAATGAGTAAGCTATATTTTGAAAAGCCTATATCATTTTTCAGTACTGTAATAAAGAATGGTGCTAGAACGTTTGTTATAATTGCTGAACATTTAGTTCTATGCAATTTAAAATATTTTTCAGGAAAATGATGGTTGCATAATTCGCCGAGATGGTCAATAGCAAGAATAGCACTGTGAGTGGTAACAAATAATGTCATTGCAGCCTGTGCATGTTGCGAGTTTAAATTAACTGGTTTAAACTTAATACCCCCTTGAGGATGGATACGTACCGCTTTAATTGATGTTAAATGCTTTGCAGTATTGCTATAGTTTAACAAATCAGCTTTTCTAGCACGAATTTCACTGCRACATATCTTACAATATGCCTTTTCTGGATCACCCTCTACTACTTGGAGCCAGTCACAAAATATTTTTTCTTTCAACCATTCTTGTCGAAATTTTTGTTTATATTGAGGTTTACCCATTTTACGTTGACTATATTACAGTAAATAGTAAATACTAAAAGTGTGTTGTGTACTTGTGTCCTGTGTATAGACTATAAAGAATAGATTACGGAATACGGCAGTACGGAGGTTAGTATGTGGAGGTATGGCTTCTACCAGCCTCGTGATAAAAACTTTATACTCCGATATCATCTTATAATTTCAACTTCAGCAGCTAGCAGCAGCCTTATCATAAAATGATAGTTTTTAATTTAATTTTAAAAAAAATTTGCAAAATATTTTCATGTCTCAATGACCAATACCAATAGCTCAAACMAACCGAAAAAAACACAAAAAACCATTATAACCAGATTTAATTTGTAAAAATACTATAAAACCCACTAGCAACTATATGTATACAATTTTTACCCGACAAGTGACAACTCAAAAAAACTAGATCTAGTCTTAAAAAACCAACTTGGCAGCACTTTAAGGTGTAGTGTACTGTRTACTAGTGTGTATTAGTAGTCGCATGGGCTGCTAACTCGTATTCATACATTGTTGACGTCTAGGTAGACAAAAGTAATGCCAATGTACGAACATTGAGAGTACTCATGTTGGCATTCCTAAAAGTTTTTAAGGTTATGTACTTAATTGAAAATTACATTCATAGAAAATTAATAAAATTAAAAGTTGATTACATTTGCAATTGTTAATTCCTGCGTGTTATGTACTCATATGTCATTAGTATCAAAACTCAAAAGTCTAAGTCCTGCTCATCCAATCTCCAGTCCTACTGTACTACTACTTGTTTTTCTATAGTCTCTACTCTCCAAGTCTCTAAGTCTGTCAAAAGTCGAAACRCTTTTCGTTTTTAACGTTTTACTTTTTTTGTGTTTTATTCACTATTCAGCCGTTGTGTTCAAAATTGCTTGTAATGCCATCACCAATATGTGTTGTCTTTAACTGCAAAAGTAGAAACAATATTTTAAAACACTGTTTTCCGAAAAAAGATATAGGTACCAAGATTTGTAAAGTGGATTGAAAGGTCAGGTAATCCAAAATTACTAACCATGACACCAGAGGAGATTTATAAAAGCTGAAATTTTTTTCTGYCATGTCCACAGTCATGGCTTACGAAATATAAACCCAACTTGCTTCCATTTTCAAAATTCATTTAAATCACTTATTATCAATAATTTCATTTCTTCTCAATCTGTAGGTGCAAACTCTCAAAAAAATAATCGTGAAAATTTAACTATCCTCAAGCAATCATTAACTTTAAATAAAAAATCTATTAATCCAATCCAAATTATTCCACAAATAAACTTTTCTTCTATTACTCAAAATCCTATAATTCCTCAAAAATCTAAATTAGCTCTATCATGCCAAGCTTATGTTTCTGGTGAAATTGTAAATAAAGTAACAAAATTAACATCTAATTGAAAATTTTGTTTAGAAGTTTTAAAGTCAACAAAT